ACAAAACCATTTATTGAAAAATAAAAAAAAATTTATACTGTTAATGGGGTGATGTCATATATATTATTACTTGTATTGCCGCTATTCCTAAAAAGCAATTTATGATATTATCGTATATAGTTGGATCTTTATCGCATATAATATGCACAATATCGTAACCACGAGGTCTTAAAACTACATCACATTTTTTTATTGATTCTGCAAATATTGGTATCTTCATCAGTGATTCACCTAAAAGACAATTTTACATTTAACAGATACGATGCAACATCTTTTTTTTTATTATTTAGGTATAGAATAGAAAGAAGAAGAATTTTTAGTACCCATTCCAGTCCATTGTGATCCCATCCCCGAAAAAACGAACCAGATCTGTCGAGATTCAGCTGACAAATTATCTTGAATCAACTCTATCGATTGTTCTGATTCAGCTGCTTCAAGTTCTGGAATGACTGTATACCCAGAATACAAAGAATGAGGTAGTGGTTTCTCAGTAATATCATTGATTAATTGAGCCAGTTCATCATCTCCTCTGCTCGAATGTAACTAAAGACAAATGGAATATAATTYACGGYYATTTTGCCTAATCAGTTCGGTCATAAAATAAATATCTTACAATATTAAAGATCGATGATATCATTTCCCGAGTACGACAAGATGCTACAAAAAGTCGTGGCATATTATTTGATGAAAGCTTTCTCCTCTGCTTTTCTTTTGAATGACGTTTTAGGATAATGTGAGAGAAAGAACCGTTTAGAGCGGCTGTGTTAACAGCAGCGTAACAATCCGTCCAAGGTGTTGGTTCTGTAATGACTTTTACGCGTCCATCCTGAAGACATTGCGCCTCTTTCGGAGGCTCGGAGAAATGAAGATTCGGAGGTATAACTCCGGTCTCCATAGCAATTAGTACCTAAAAATTAAAAAAAAAACCTAATGTAAAATATTAAATCAAATTTGTGTTGTGATGAATTTAATTTTATCTTTTCAGGAAACTTACCTTGATTATCGAATTTATTGCATTATTATTAAATGTATACCCAATGTTTGATTTAACAGATCCTATTAAAAGAGGATTAGAAAAGCTTCGATCTTGACTATAAACAAGATCTATGGCATTTAATTCATCGAGATCCATCGATTTGATTGCTGTWCCATCGGCCTCGATGTAAGTTACGTCGCTTGGTTGTAGACCGCTGTGTTTCAATGTCTGTTTCATTATAGAAGCCTGAAATTCGGCTGTAGGAAATATACATGTGTTTCTGGAAATGGCATCTGTGTTTCTGACGCAAAGATTAATGATTTCGGCATAAACTCGCTTTGCATATTTGGCTCTTTGAAGGAAAATTGTTCCTATCGACTCGCTTCTCGAGAATCCAGAAGCATTCTTATCAAAAGATTTATTTACCCCGTCTTTCGACAATAAACCTAAATAATGGAACAAAAAAACCAAAAAATTATTTATAGATTAGGAAAAAATTGAACTTCTGCTGTCTTATTTATCATTGAAATGATACAAATATAAGAAAATATTGCCTTTTTGTCTTTACATGCAAGTACTGGAAGTAATTATACCTAGTATATTTTTATTTTACCTAATTCCAAAAGTTGATAAGATGTTTGGGAAAGTAAGCTTAAGATTCCCCCACTAACAATCGCGTAATCGCAATCACCAGCTTTTAAAGCCTCGTACGCTTTCTGAATTGCTAACGAACTTGATGTGCTGGTTGAATCGATAGTGCAGCTTGAGCCAATTAAACCCATACAAAACGAGATTCGGTTTGATAGCAAACCACGGCAATATCCTAGTAGACTATATCCATCTAACTATAATGAAAATATTAACAATATCAGATCGAATGATACTGCCTTTACATAATATCCATTAAATAAATTTATCAACTTACCTGAGTTTTATCATTCAAGAGATAACTATCTGACTCATATAAACTCAATACCCCGTAAACATTGGTTTTCTTGTTCCGTAACTCTACAGGATTTATTCCGGCATCAATGATCGCTTCAAACGTAACTTCCATTGCAATTCTTATTTCTGGCGCCATAAATTTTGCCTGTATTGAATTAATTCCAAAAAAATAGTTATCGAATTTCGTTAAATTAGAAATTGTTCCTAAACGCAATGGTATTTTAGGCGAATCATCTAAAAAATAATAATTTATGAAACTCATAAAGAATGTACTGTAATGTAATATATTTCTGTATAAAAATAAATGTTATATACTGATTCTTACCTAATTTCCATCTTGTATGATCTGAGGAAACGCAATCTTCTCCATTTATTAGATTTGTCTTTAAATCATTGATATTCTCACTTTTTGGAAATTTTCCTGATACTCCAGAAATGACCACTGCATTTTCTTCTAAACCTTCAASTTTCATATTTGCTAAATATATCTACACGAGCAAAACTATTAGCTACAACTTCGTGTGTCTAATAAAGCTATTCAGTGTTGCTGCTGTTTATATATCCTTACGGATAACTTCAATTAAAATTCTTATGTATAACATTTGTTTTTAAATTTAAATGATTTTACATATGATGCATTGTTCTTATACTATTTTTAAAAAAATATGTAATAAATAGGCTAGCGATGACGTGTGAATTAAAATTGTTTTTTATTTAGACAGATTAAATTTCCATACAATATATAAGGAAACGATTTGACCTTCTTTGATCTTTTTAATTCAGGAACATGAAACAGTGGCTAGGTAAAAAAATTTTTTCAAGATTCTATAAATCTGTAAAGCCCCGACGTAAAAGGAAATATATTTCTCTTTAATATAACTCTTTTATTAATACTTATTAGACATTTTTTAATGAATGATTAAAGTTTTTAAATATTATACTGAAATAACAATATAATATTATATATTGGAGAGAATTAAATCGCAAATAATATTGTAGGATTCGCGAAAAAAATTGGGCCGTTGGACTGACGACTTGACCGGGACTCGAACCCGGATATTCCCCCCCGCTTTCCGGGTGACTGCTCTTTATCCATTAACTATTCAAGGCCCACGTCCAATCTCTTCACGAATGCCTATTTAAGTATATGGCTTGGAGGCGCTCCTCCCACAATATAAATAACAATTTTTATTTATTACCTTTATTAAAAGTTAACATAATCAATTAATAATAAATATAATTAATAAATAAAAGTAATAATAGTCATAATAAATAATAGTCATATATATAGTAAGTCATAATAAAACAGTAATACTTGGAAAACATGTCTGTTGTTTGTAGTATTGTACTTTAATTGTATTTGTAGTATTGTACAATCATGACAAACTTCATGCGCAATTTTTTTGGGACCCCCACTTCATCAGCCTTTATCTTTTTGAATTTTTAATTTTTCTACTTTTTTTTAAATGTATTCTTTAAATATTAATATATATCTTGTAAAAAAATAGATAGTAAAAATATTTTTTGTCTTTTTCTTATTGCACTTGAAAAAGTATCAAAAACTATGCCTCTAGACCAGAATAAACCTTTGAAGTAATTTAGTTTTTTAATATGTTAAGCAACCATTGTGTAATCCAGTGCTGTAGAAATACAGTGCTGCACCATGACTTCCGCTACTTTGTTATCGTGTTAGAGCGAGACCGTATAATAGGATGCCACGTTGTAGGGAGGATACCAGTAGCTTACATTAACGAGAATAAGAAATAAAGAAATAGAAAAAAGTGGAAAAAGAAAATATGTCCCTTTCGAGAAATCGATCCGGCGATATCAAAAATAAAAGATCGCGCTGCTGCTCATTACGATACCGAAGAAAAATATTTTCTTTTTTTTTTACTTTTATTAACTCTATACATCTTTACTATTTGTCCGTAGACATTTGGTAAATTGTTATATAAGTGAAAAAAGATAGCACGGGGACAGTTTCTTTAATGAAATAGCGACGCTATTGTAATTTCTTTCAATTAGGTTTAATTTTTCACTAAGTCTCCTGAGTGGATTTTTTTCAGCCTTCAAGGGATATATTGGTTGAAGTAATCGTCGGCTAGGTGGTTTATGTGCGTATCAATTCTTCTATTGTATTTGCAGGTTGTCTTTGCTATTTCTTCTTCTGGTTACAGATACCATACCAAATTCAAAAAAACATAGTATATATATATATAAATAATATAATTGAAAAAGTTAGTTTATTAAATATAGATCAGCTTTTGTTAGTCGATCAAGGATGACAAATCGACGTGTCATCAGATCTTAAATGTAAGACATACATATTTACTTCATGAACTTATCTTTTTAATTATAACTATACTGCTCAAATCCTAGTAGAAATAACAAAAATTCATGAATTTCGCTAGTTTGATATTTCACAGTCTCCAGTTCTTATCGAAAAGAATGACGACTAAAAAATATACATTTGCAAAAAATAAGGGCTTGTGTATCAATAGTTTATATGTTTCAGAACTGGAAATGACGCAATATCACCCGCATTTACCTTCTGCGCCCTTTATGACTCTGTTCCATCATACCCAACTAGCTGACGAAGGCGTAACCTCTTCGTTTCGATGTTTGTCCCTTATCCCTGTAGCCCTCTAGCCAGTAAACGGTTTTCTTCTTCCTTGCTAATACCCCAGCAAACGAACCTAAGCTTGATCTAAGATGTAACTCATAATAAAATTGTTTCAAAAACTGTTTTAAACGTCAAATAGTGATAAAATGTCAATTTTCAAATACAAATCACTGTCATAAGCTTACGTTTAGATATTTTCAATTTTCCAAATGCTTTTTGCGTGTCTAATATTTGATATAAAAAATGTCACTTGTAAAGCAATTATAAAAGTATGTAGAGTCAGGAAATGTCATTCTTTTCAATTATTAATTTACCTTACATAATAGATGTACAGAGAGATTATGTTTCCAGAAAAAAGTATAAGCTTATCACACTAATAAATCGAAACTCGTAGCTATAGATTTTTAATTTTTTTTTATTAAGATGACATGATTTTTTCAAGTTAGAAATTTTAAATTTAAATAACTTTAAAACCCAAATTTTTAATTATTTTTTTTTTCGTAAGCGCTAACTAGTTTTTTCCACATATTTTTTAAAAAACTGTATCCGGAGACTTGATTAATTTTCCAAAGATCCCAACAGTAATAATTCAGTTTTTAGTATCGTAGCTCGTTTCGGTATTAATGTCTAACGAATATATTCCATATCTATTCAGAACAGTTTATATATGCAAGTACATTTTGTAATAATAAATTTTTCGCATTATTTTTGTTGATGCGACCGATGCCTTAATCGGTACTCCAGTG